CTTCAAACTATACTACAAAGCTACAGTAACCAAATCAGCATGGTACTGGCACCAAAACAGAGATATAGACCAATGGAACAGAACAGAGGTCTCAGAAATAACATTACACATCTACAACCATCTGATCTTTAACAAACCTGACAAAAACAAGAAGTGGGGAAAGGATTCCCTATTTAATAAATGGTGCTGGGAAACTTGGCTAGCTATATGTAGAAAGCTGAAACTGTATCCCTTCCTTACACCTTATACAAAAATTAATTCAAGATGCATTAAAGACTTAAATGTTAGACTTAAAACCATAAAAACCCTAAAAGAAAACCTAGACAATACCATTCAGGACACAGGCATGGGCAAGGACTTCATGACTAAAACACCAAAAGCAATGGCAACAAAAGCCAAAATAGACAAATGGGATCTAATTAAACTAAAGAGCTTCCACATGGCCAAAATACACAAGTCGGATCTAATTAAACTAAAGACCTTCCACACAGCAAAAGAAACTATCATCAGAGTGAACAGGCAACCTACAGAAAATTTTTGCAATCTACCCATATGACAAAGGGCTAATATCCAGAATCTACAAATAACTCAAACAAATTTACAAGAAAAAAACAACCCCATGAAAAAGTGGCCAAAGGATATGAAGACACTTCTCTACAGAAGACATCTATACAGCCAACAGGCGCATGAGAAAATGCTCATCATCACTGGTCATCAGAGAAATGCAAACCAAAACCACAATCAGATATCATCTCACGCCAGTCAGAATGGCAATCTTTAAAAAGTCAGGAAGCAACAGATGATGGAGAGGATGTGGAGAAATAGGAACGCTTTTACACTGTTGGTGGGACTGTAAATTCGTTCAACCATTGTGGAAGACAGTGTGGCGATTCCTCTAGGATCTAGAACTAGAAATACCATTTGACCCAGCAATCCCATTACTCGGTATATACCCAAAGGATTATAAATCATGCTACTATAAAGACATATGCACACGTATGTTTATTGTGGCACTACGCACAATAGCAAAGAGTTGGAACCAACCCAAATGTCCATCAATGATAGACTGGATTAAGAAAATGTGGCACATATACAACATGGAATACAATACACCATGCATAGTTGCAGCCATAAAAAGGATGAGTTCATGTCCTTTGCAGGGACATGGATAAAGCTGGTAACCATCATTCTCAGCAAACTATCACAAGGACAGAAAACCAAACACAGCATTTTCTCACTCACAGATGGGAACTGAACAATGAGTTCACTTAGACACAGGGCGAGGAACATCACACACCGGGGCCTGTTGCGGGGTGGAGGGCTGGGGGAGGGATAGCATTAGGAGAAATACCTAATGTAAATGATGAGTTGATGGGTGCAGCAAACAAATATGGCACATGTATACCTATGTATCTATGTATCAAACCTGTACATTGTGCACATGTACTCTAGAACTTAAAGTGTAATTAAAAAAAATATATATAATCCTGATGTTGAGTAGATCCTGCTGGTTGATGGTGTTGTCGAGTTCTTCTATATCCTTGTTGATTTTCTTTCTAGTTATTCTACCAATTGTTGAGAGAGGGGTACTAACATCTCCAAGTTTATTTGTGGATTTGTCTGTTTCTCCTTTCAGGTCTATCAGTTTTTGCTTCACACATTTTATAACTCTGTTGTTTAGTACATAGGATTAGTATGTTTTCTTGGTGGATCACTTTTTTATCATTATAAAATATCCTTCTTGATCCCTGGTAATTTTCTTTCCTCAGAAGTTTATCAGGTTCTGCTTTCTTTTGTTTAATGTTTGTATGGTGTATCTTTTCCATCCTTTTTCTTTCAACCTATTTAATATCATTACCTTGACATGTCTTGTAGACAGTTCATTGATTCCTTCCTTTGTCTTTTCCATTCCGCTATTGAGCCCAGTCCCTGAAGTCATTGTTTCAGTTTTGTATTTTTAGTTCTAAAATTTCCATTATGTTTCTTCCTTTTTACATTTTTGTTTTTTTGTACAGATGAGGATTTTGCTATGTTACCCAGGCTGGTCTCAAACTCCTGGCCTCAAGTGATCTTCTCACCATGACCTCCCAAACTGCTAGGATTACAGACCCATCCATTTCTCTCTTCTTTATATTGTTTTGAGTTTTCATTTGTTTCACAACTTGTCATCATGTTCATTAAAACATTTTTATGATGGATGCTGTATCAGTCCGTTCTCTCTTGAAAAATTAATTCTCTCTTGAATTAATTTTTGCTCTAAAGAACTACCTGAAATTAGCTGGGTGTGGTAGTGAGTGCCTGTAATCCCAGCTACTCAAGAGGTTGAGGTGGAAGGACTGCTTGAATGCAGAAGGCAAAGGCTGCAGTGTGCCGAGATCACGCCACTGCACTGCAGACTGGGTGACAGAGAGAGACTCCATCTCCAAAAAAAAAATAAACAACGACAACAACAACAACAACAAGAACTACCTGAGACTGGATAATTTATAAAGAAAAGAGGTTTCATTGACTCACAGATCCACAGGCTGTACAGGAAGTATGGCTGTGGAGGCCTCAGGAAACTTGGAATCATGAGGGAAGGTGAAGAGGAAGGAGGTACATCTTACACGGCCGGAGCAGGAGTAAGAGAGAGCAAAGGGGGAGGTGCTACACACTTTTATAAACAACCAGATCTTGTGAGAACTTACTCACTATAACAAGGATAGCAAGGGGGAAATCTGTCCCCAGAATCCAATCACCTCCCACAAGGCCCCTCTTCCAACAGTGGGGATTACAAATGGACATGAGATTTGGGTCAGGACACAAACCCCAACTGTATCGGATGCTTTAAAATCTTTGTCAAATAATTCTGACATTTGTGTCTTGTTGGTGTTAATATCTATTGACCTTCTTATTCAGTTTGAGATCTTCCTGATTCTGGGTAAGGCAAATTATTTTCATTTCGAAATCTAGACATTTTGAGTATTATGGTTTTTGTTTTTGCTGGCAACTATGTAGAGCAATATAATTTTTGTGTTTTAGCAGACTTCCTCTAGCACCACACTCCAATGGGTAGTAGGGTGTTACCTCATTATTGTGAGGTGGGACTAAAAGTACATGTTCTCTACTAGACCTCCACTGATACCAGAGGGCTCCCTGTTACTGATGGATGGGGTGGGAGGTCTCCAATAGGCCTCCACTGATACCATCTCCAATGGAGTTCAGGGGTAACTTGCTACCCCTGGGACTGGGATGCAAGTCCAGGCTGCATAGTTGACCTTAATTACCTTGGGGTCATTGTGAACTCAAAATTATACTTAGCCCTTATCTGCCCTGATCTCCGCTATATTGTTAACACTGAATATAATCTCCTTTAAAGCTCTCACTTCCCTTCAATTTCTCTTCTTACTTCTTGAACAGCTTTGGAAATTATTCATGGGAGCCTTTTTATTCTCGGTCTATCTCTTCAAATTTAATCTCCAGGATCGATCTGTCCTTATACTCTTTTTCTCATTCTACATCCCTATCTAAGCAATTTCATTCATTCTCACAATTAAACAACATCTTACCATCTCTGTTGGTCAGAACTCAACCAAACTCTAAAACCATTTGCTAAACTGCTGATTGGCACTGTCCTTTTGTTATATCACAGATATCTAAAAGGGAACTTATCCCCTCCTCACCCAAGCCTGTTCTGCTTCTGCATTCACTGTTTTAGTGCCAACATCATTTAGCAGGTCTTTTGAGCCAGAAAATGAGGAGCTACCTGGCACCCTTTTCTCTCCTCCTTAACATCCACTTAATTAGTCCTGGAGTACTAATTCTATACACTAAACAATTCTACCTCATAAAACGTCCCATCATTTTAACTAAAATATCTTAATTAGGCTTCTTAAATCGTCTTGTTTCCTTAAATCACCTCTCATCTAGACTTCCACAGTGTCATGCCTGTCAAAATGGTCTAACAGAAATTCAATCGCATCATTTCGCTGATCAAAACTTTGCTCTTTATAACAACATGTGTTTTCCCACCAAACTAGGCTGCAACCACCAATAGGCTATAAAATCAATTCAGCAGATTCCAGCATCAATTTTTGAAAGTTTTGTTTTGTTTAACGAAACACAGTATAAGAGACTAGAAAATATTACAGAGAACTATGCATACTGATGCTAAGTTCTGTTTTATTTCATATACATGTCCATTTTATATCACAAACCAGTGAAAACATACAAATTGATACATGTATAAAGACACTGCACATAGGTGTATACATGTGTATGTTGGGTCATAACGTATATTGAGTCATAATGTAAGCTCTTCCAGGAAAGCTTCCTGGTCCCTCATATCTCCCAACCTCCAAAGATAATGAAGCATTCTCTCAACTGCTAGGTCTGCACCATGTTAATGCTTCTATCATTGCTTTAATTCCGTATTTGTGCTTCCTACAAGACCATAAACTTCTAACACTGTACTAGGCATTTTTCCTACTACTTCATATGTACAATCTCATTTAATTCTCACAACTCCTGTTTTTGGGAGGTGGGTGTGGGGGTAGGGTTTTGCTTTGTTGACCAGGCTAGAGTGCAGTGGCACCACCATGACTCACTGCAACTTCGAACTCCCGGGCTCAGGTAATCTTCCTGCCAGAGCCTCCCAAGTGGCTGGGATTACAGGTATATGCCTGGCTAATTTTTAAGGTTTTTGTGGAGACAGAGTCTCACTTTGTTTCCCAGGCTGGTCCTGAACTCTTGGGCTCAAGCGATCCTCCCACCTTGACCTCTCAAAGTGTCAGGATTATAGGCATAAGTCAACTCCCTGGCCCAATTTTCACAACTCTTTAGACAGAATTCTCATTTTTAAAATGTGCAAAGATAGAAACAGATTAAATAACTCCCCAAATGTCACACAGTAAGTGGTAGAGATGGAATTTAAAACTCAAAAAGCCTGACTCTGGAAAACAGACATACGATATTACAGAATGTTAAAGATTTAATAAAAGATCAGTGGAAAATTAACTTACTTCAAATAAAAGTCTATAATAACATCATTTAAAAATTCTCCTTCATTTAGACAGTGTAGGTCCTCATTAGTAACGGAGATGCCTCCCTTAGCTGGAGGTGGTGGATATACTATCAACCTGTAACAAAATTAGAAGGCAAGCAAATAAACAAATCTATATATATGTATACACAACTGAAATGTATACACAACTGAAATGTAATAAAACAGAGAAAGACATTTAAGATCATTGCAAATATAAAAGAATTCTCTCACTTTTCTACTGGGCCAATGAAGATGGTGTGGTTTTCTCCAGTTTCTTCTTCTTCATCAAAAAACTGAAATTCTTGTTTGCTTCTAAGCTGTATTTTAGATTCAAATGATACCTGGTAAAGGAAATTAGCAATTTACAGTCAATTAGGAAAAGTTTCAATAAAAAGGGTAAGCACAAGGCAAGAATGTTTTTCAATGCAAATGGATTAAAAATATGGAACTAAAAAGTATGCATGATATTTAACAATTAAAAATAAGAAATAGGCAAAACTAGGGGCCACTTTCTTTTTATCTGTAGCTTCTAGATAGTGACACTCTCCCAACTTATGTAACAGTAATTTTTCAGTATCTTACTTCTCTAAGATCTCTACTATCTACATTAAATCAGATAATGCTGGTAACATTCAAAGAACCTTTCTAAAAAACCAAAGTGGTTTTTGCCTCTTAGTTCAATAGCTAGGCAATCTATAAGATGCAGGGGCAGAGGCTCAGGGAACACAGTCGAATGAGTTTCAGCCCTCCATAAAGCTAAGTGAAATGGGTTCCTTAGAGGAAAGAATCTTCCATTGAAGTTTGAGTCCATCCCAGTTGCATTATGCTGCTCTTTTCTTCCGTTGGCACTGTCTCCCATGCCAACTATGCAAAAGAAAGAGAACCATTTCCCGTCCTTTTCTCAACCCACTAACTATATTTATAGTTTTTTGGGGAGTCCTTGCTCAACTATCACCAAGATTGTGCCGCGGATAGCCATATTTCCAAGTTTGCAGGCAGTTTGAGAGATCTGTTCCCAATAAATTAGGTCAGCAAAGCTAAGTTGCTATAATAGGAAATAAACTTAAGAGTTTTAAAATTATGTTTGTATTATTTACCATTATACTATGTGTTATAGTAGTATTGTGACCTTTGCTTCAGGTGGCTTCAGAGTTACCTAGCTATATGAGTAGTTATTCTAGTATTAGATACATGTTTTGACAATAAAGATCAAATAGCATGTATTCTTCATTTCTCATATATGCCTATGTTACATACAAATGTACACCATGGACCACAATTTCTTCAAACCTAAGACACAGGGTAACCAATCCATTTGAAAGTAGTGGTGTGTGCATATATATGTTGGAAGTAGGGTATAAAGAAAAAAGGATGACAGAAAAAATGATGATGAAAAGTAAAGATAAGGATAGAATGTGGAGGAACCAAAAATGCTTCTGAGACCTGTACCGAGTACTATTTGTCACCCACTCACCACTGTTTTGACACAAGGTAGTTTACAAATCACACATAAAAGCAAGTAATTCTGAAATAGAATTAAAAATATTTAACACTGAAAGGAACAGTATTAAAATAAAACATATTTTCCTTTAAAACTACCCATAATTTAAGAATATTTTTAAAATTAAAAAACATAATTACAGTTTTAATTTTGTTTTCCTTTTGCCCACAACTTCCTTTGATGTTCTCTTCATAGGTTCGTGTACAGGCAACAAGTCTGCCATTAGCTTCTTCAAAGGGAATTTTCGCAAAAAAACTGGAAATGTTATTCTTTATACCAATTTCATTAATGATACTTTCAAATACCATATTTGCCTGAGGATCAAGGCCATTTTGAAAAATTAAAATTATATATTGTTCTTCCAAATCTGAAAAGAAACAAATATAAGTCTAAAAAAACAAAAGTAAATAGAAAGTTTTAAAGGAGTAATTATTAATTCTGTCCGGGAAGATAATCAGAAATCCCAGTAAAAAGGTCCGCAACAATGTCTGACATACAGTGGATACACAACAATCACTGGAAAGACCAGTGTGTGTTACATGCAAAGTTCGCTTAAGTTATTAGAAGGAAGGAACCAGAATACATTACTCTAATAACAGTTCAAGAACAAATCTATTCACGGATGTAACTAATTTACTTCATCTAATAAATCTAAATCTATAAAGATATAATAGTTAACATTTTTGTCAAACACAAATAGAAAATTGCCACGTGAACTGATAGTATCTCAAGAGAATCTAACTGCAAAACATCTTTTCACTAATGTGCCAACTCTTGCAGATTCACTGGTAGCTAACACTTTTTCATAATTAAGCTGAAGCAGCAATTACTGCTGAAATGTGTTTATCTTCTAAGCAGTCAAGCCATGCTTTAAGTGTTAAAGGTGAAGGAAAAAAACCTGGAGAACCATATCTATGTATTATAAAGACTTAAGGCCCATTTTATGAACTTAATAACTTCCTATTCAGGCCAAGTTTCAAGATTTCCAGATTTATATGGCTGATTTACATTTAATATTCCTATCAGTTAAAAAATTTTAGTTTACTCAGATTACAGTGTTAGTTAAGAGTGCAGATCTTTTGGGTTTTAATCTACTTAGAAACTTTCTAAATGAGTAAGTCTGGGTTTTATCTTCAGCCCTTCCACTTTCTGTGAGTTTTTCCTTATCTGTAAAATGGAGAAAGTAATATCTATTTCACAAGGTAGCTGTGAGAATTGTAGATAATATACATCTAAGGCATCTGTCAAAGTGCACTCACATTTTGCTATTCAACAGCTATTGTAAATACAATATCTATTATAATTACCTATTATAATCTGTTTTACACAACTTACTTGTTAATTTATTTATTCCTTTACAATCATTCCAAACTTTATCCTCCTTATTCATTTGCAGTTGCATGCTCAGCTTTTGATAAACTGCTGGAATTGCCTGAAGAAACACTACGGGTAATTTTCGGACATTACACCATTCACATTTAGTTAGATCAGAGGTATTTAAAATAATCTCTACAGGATCACGGTCTCGTTCTGGAGGAAAACAAATGGAAATGGAAAAATAACTTTTAAGAGGGTAATATCATGAATGGGGGAAATTGTGAGGAAATACAAGTTTAAATGTAAGTACATATTTATTATGCTCTGCACATCATTACTCTTGTGGGTAATAAAAAAAAATCTTTATAACTGCTTTAAAGAAGCTTTTTTATTTTTTACAAATGAAAAGGGGTTTCTAAAAAGTTAGGCTCTGTGATATTTCTGAATGAAATTTACACCAAGATATATGCCCTTTGATAAGGATATATGTAACAACTAACCATCTTAATAAATTCTATGAATATTTTTAAATCTTTTATTCCTGTAAAGTGCTTTGGTGTAAAGAAAGCTTTAGTGAGTAAAAAAACATAAAATAGCTTACCGTCTAGCTGTATCTTGATAAAATCTAAACAAAACTAAAAAAGAAGATGAATTAGTATTGCTCTAGACTTACAAAGAAAGGCAGGTTTCACTTTTCTATTCAAGTACTTAGAATGTTTCCTATATTACTCGTTTATCTCTTAAAATCCCACAGAGAGGTTGGTATAACATTATAATGAACACCTAAATATTCCTTACCTAAATTTACTAACTGTTAAACTGTTAACATCTTGCCACATCCCTTCCATCACTCTTTCTTTTCTTTTTTTTTTTAACTTTTATTTTCGGTTCAGGGGTACCTGTGTAGGTTTGTTATATAGGTAAACTGCACGTCATGGGGGTTTGACATTCACTCAATGGTTTTTGCATGTATTGATGGTCCTTGCCTGAATTATTTATTACTGGTGGTTACAAAATGGTATTTTCTAACTAATTATTTCAATGTGGAAAAGACACATTAAGCCTACTACAGCCTGAATTAATTATTTTAGAGAAGTTAACAGATTCAAAAAAAGAGGCAAGTATTTTGAAATGCATTAAAAAACAAGACAAACGAATACATACAGGGATGAATAGATATATGGAAAGCAAATACAATAAAATGCTAATAGTAGAACTTAGCTGGGAGTTATATAAAGTTCACTGCAAAATTCTTTCAACTTTTCAGTGTGAAGATTTTTATAATGTAAAAAGAGAAAGGAAATATAAAATAAATTTAGCAATTACTACAATAATTAATTGCAAAGTCTAGAATGTCACTAAACATAACTCTCTAAAGATTGCATTTGAAAGGACTATGTTAACTGGTTTCTCTGGGAAGTAATACATTATTTGGGGACATTAAGCACGGGTACCGGCAGGGAATGGTGGCTTTTAACCGTTATCCCAGCATTTTGGGAGGATCGCTTGAGCCCAGGAGTTTGAGATCAGCCTGGCCAACATAACCTGGTGAAACCCCAGTATTTATAAACCCCAGTATATAAAAGTATAAAAAATTAGCCAGGCATGGTAATGCATGCCTGTAATCCCGGCTACTCAGGAGGCTGAGGCAAGAGAATCGCTTGAACCCGGGAGGCAGAGGTTGCAATGAGCCAACATTGTGCCACTGCACTCCACCCTGGGCAAAAATAGTGAGACATCATCTCAAAAAAAGAAAAATGTAGCCAGGTATAGATGGCATGTGCCTATAGTCCCAACTACTTGGGGCCTGAGGTGGAAGGACTGCTTGTGCCTAGGAGTTCAAGGTTACAGTTAGCTATGAATGCAGCACTGAACTGGGGAACAAAGAGAGACCTCATCACTAAAAAAAAAAAAAAAAAAAAAAAAAAACGTACTGTAGCTTGCGAAACGTTCTAGCATACATGGATGTTGACATTGTGTGTTTTGGAAAAATGTTAGCTGATTCAAAAAGTGTCAATAATGACGACATAAAGCATTCACTCATTCATTTATTTATCAGAATGAGTCTCGCTCTGTCACCCAAGCTGGAAGGCAGTGGCACAATCTTGGCTCACTGCAACCTCTACCTCCTGGGTTCAAGTGATTCTCCTGCCTCAGCCTCCCTAGTCGCTGGGGTTACAGTGCACGCCACCACACCCCGCTAATTTTTGTAGTCTTAGTAGAGATGGGGTTTTACCATGTTGACTAGGCTGGTCTCAAATTCCTGACCTCAAGTGATCCACCTGCCTCAGCCTCCCAAAGTGCTGGGATTACAGCCACCACACCTGGCTGACATATGCATTTAAATAAAATTGTTGCATAAGATAAAGGAATTGAAGGAAGTTATATCTAAATACTTGTCATTTAGAAATATGTAAGTAAATCACACATAAATATTAATATTATAAGTAGACACCGGGCTGGGTGCGGTGGCTCACACCTGTAATCCCAGCACTTTGGGAGGCCAAGGTGGGTGGATCACCTGAGGTCAGGAGTTCAACACCAGCCTGGCCAAGACGACGAAACCCCATCTCTACTAAAAATACAAAAATTAGCCAGGCATGGTGGCAGGCACCTGTAATCTCAGCTACTTGAGAGGCTGGGGTAGGAGAATTGCTGGAACCCAAGAAGTGGAGGCTGCAGTGAGCCGAGATTGCACCACTGCACTCCAGCCTGGGCCAACAACAGTGAGACTCAGTTTCAAAAAACAAAACAAAACAAAACAAAAGTGGACATTGGTCTATTTCATCTACATTGTGAAAGTTTCTAAATTTAAACTGAATGAAAACCTTGATTTTATATATTCTCATTTGAAAAATGAGGGATTACTTTGTATTTGTGCATGTGGTATTCCTAATAATATATGCCATCTTACTTCCTTAAAAAAGCACTTGCTTTTAAATAAAATAGACACTTCTAAATAATGCCACTTGGCCGGGTGCAGTGGCTCACACCTGTAATCCCAGCACTTTGGGAGGCCGAGGCAGGCGGATCACGAGGTCAGGAGATCGAGACTAACACAGTTAGTCTGGCTAACACAGTGAAACCCCGTCTCTACTAAAACTACAAAAAATTAGCCGGGCATGGTGGTTGGCGCCTGTAGTCCCAGCTACTCAGGAGGCTGAGGCAGGAGAATGGCATGAACCCGGGAGACAGAGCTTGCCGTGAGCCGAGATGGCGCCACTGCACTCTAGCCTGGGCGACAGAGTGAGACTCTGTCTCAAAATAATAATAATAATAACGCCAATTATATCACCGAGCGAATTAAAATGATTAAATTATCTAATAATAAACAAGTGTAGAATTTTATAAAACACTGAATATAGTAAAACATTTAAAACCTGTTTCTCAGATTAATCATAACTTGGCAGATAAATCATTTCACTACAAAACATAAGGAGGTTATATTCAAGAAGAAGAAGAAAATATCAAATCATCTTTTTATTTATACTATCTGAAGAAGATACAGACCTACTAATTATTCTTCAATGCAGAACGCCCTTTGCGAAAAATCTCATGCTACAAGTAAGGCTAATAGTACACTGCAAATTTCTACATTATATTTTTTGACTGGAATATTTCATTTAGCATTATAATTTTTAAACTGACAATTTTACGTTACATATACTGCCTTTTATTTTTTTAACTAAATTTACAAAGTTTTTCTTCACCGTAGCAAATATAACCTATTAGAAAAAATTCACCCAAATTTTAATATGGTTCTTCATAAACAGCTTTAAGACTAAATATGTAACTTTCTAATTAAATGTCTAAATCACCAGCAAAACCTTACTCATCACACTGAAGAGTTATAAATAACAGTGCTAATGTGGGAGAAAACCATAAAAGTTACAGGGCACTCCTGAAAATTTTTGAGGTACAAAGTGACACAGAGTGACATTTTTGTTAATGGACAGAAACCAGGAAAGACAGTCTGCAGTATGAGGGCTGTAACAAAATACAAATTTCATAAATCCCTAAAAACACTGACATATGTTACAATATTATTGGGCAATAAAGGGTAGATAATTTATATATAATTGGCTTTGAATCTCCAGGGTACTTCTGAAACTTAGTTTGTAAACTGTGAGAAGCTTAAGGTTTTTGATGGAAAAGAAAAATTTGCTGGATTTGCATAGAGCTGTGCTCTGCTAAGAAATCAGGTTCACATTTCATTTTCTCCTACAAATAATTTTTTTTCTTTTGATCATACTGTATTCTAGAACCATGAAGAACCTTTACCAGAAAAGAAAGTTATTATTTATTACATTAAATAATAAAACACCTTACAACTTTCCTGCTGTGATATAATTATTTCTCTCTCTCTTCCTTTTTTTTTTTTTTTTTTTTTTTTTTGGAGACAGAGGCTCAATCTGTCACCCAGGCTGGAGTGCAGTGGTGCAATCTCGGCTCACTGCAACCTCCGCCTCCCAGGTTCAAGCGATTCTCCTGCCTCAGCCTCCCGAGCAGCTGGGACTACAGGCACACGCCACCGTGCCCAGCTAATTTTTGTATTTTTAGTAGAGATGGGGTTTCAGCATATTAGCCAGGCTGGTCTCAAATCCCTGACCTCGTGATCCAGCCGCCTTGGCCTCCCAAAGTGCTGGGATTACAGGCGTGAGACATCATGCCCGGCAATAAGTTCTCTTAAAGACAAGTGCTTTATGTAAAAAGGACAATGTTAGGACAATTATGTAAAAAGGACAATATTAGTTTGAAAGAAGAGTTGGAAACACATAGGGACACCAAGTTAAGACATTATAAAATAAAGGCTTACAGAATGCATACAGTGCTGTACAATTAATCTAGAAACAATGTTTAGAATACATTAGAGAGAAAAATGATGACTAAGAAGACTAGTTAAGGAGATTATATTAAAATTTCAAACAGAAAATAAAAACTTGGATTGGTGGCAGAATAGTAAGTACACAGGTATGATGAGTAAGATAAAGTACACAAAGTCCTTTGGGTATTGTGGACAATGAACTAGTACAATGCACAATGCCTTTTGGGCAGCCATTATAGTACAATAATCTATTTCTAGGAGTCTTGATGCTGTAATACATTTTCCAGCAGATCCCAAAGCTTCTGGAATCTTCACTCACTACAGTTCTTTAATATAGTCTTTTCATGCACTTAGCTGGCATGATACTAAATCAGTAACATATTGGAAGGTTTTCTAACTCATTTTAATGGTGAGGAGCTACTATGTATATACTCTTAAAGCAATGTGAAATCTTGAACTAATTTTGATATTCTATTAAATATTTTAATTTACAAATTTAAAATATTATATATTATCTTTAGCAATGGAATTTTTAATGTTAAAATTGGTATAGTAAAAAGCTTAAGAATGTACTTACAATTACAGGCTCTATTAACAGCCGGAAGAGTGTTCCTACTCGTATACTTCGACAGTTTAAAATGACACTGTCAAAGGAACTTTGGCAGCTTAAAGCTAAAGGATCTGGAGTTTCTGGAGAAGACACTTTACGACGTTTTAGAGGTGTGTTGATAATAGAATTGCCAAACTAAAAAGGAAAAGAAAATTTTCACTTAATAATTTACTAAAACAAAGCTGCAAGCTAACTATAAACATATGCAAAGACCCAATAAAAGAAACGTAAATATCACAACATAAAATGGATTTCCCTTCAACAGTGTTAGATAAAATTAAAATTCATGGTTTTTATATAACAGTAAATACCTGTATCTTATTTAGCTATACTTTAGTTGTAATATAAATCTGAGTAATAGCACGGCAGTCAAGAATAGTACTCTGGGAATCAGACTGCCTGGATTCAAACAGCCACACCACCTTTTATTTTATTTTATTTTATTTTATATTTATTTATTTATTTTTGAGATGGAGTCTCGCTTTGTCACTCAGGCTGGAGTGCAGTGGCGTGATCTCCACTCAATGCAAGCTCTGCCTCCTGGGTTCACGCCATTCTCCTGCCTCAGCCTCCCAAGTAGCTTGGACTACTGGCACCCGCCACCACACACGGCTAATTTTTTTTTGTATTTTTAGTAGAGACAGGGTTTCACCGTGTCAGCCAGGATGGTCTCAATCTCCTGACCTCGTCATCCACCCACCTCAGCCTCCCAAAGTGCTGGGAGTACAGGCGTAGCCACTGCGCCCGGCCAACACCACCTTTTAAAGATCTGATCTTGGACGGGCACGGTGGCTCACGCCTGTACTCCCAGCACTTTGGGAGGCCGAGATGGGCAGATCACCTGAGGTCAGGAGTTCGATACTAGCCTGCCCAACACAGTGAAACCTCATCTCTACTAAAAATACAAAAAATTAGCCGGGTGTGGTGGCAGGTGACTGTAATCCTGGCCACTCAGGAGGCTGAGGCAGGAGAATTGCTTAACTGGGAGGTGGAGGTTGCAGTGAGCCAAGAACACGCCACTGCACTCCAGTCTGGGCGACAAGATCGAAACTCCTTCTCAAAAGCAACAACAACAACAACAACAACAACAACAAAAACTGATCTTGTAAAACTTAATAACTTACGTAAGTTTTGGTTCCCTAAACTTTAAAATATACAGAGTAAGAGTATCTACTCAACTGAGTTAATGCATAAAAAGCAGTTTAGCAGAGTGCTTCATGCACAGTAAAATGCTGCTAGTTATAGTGGCAATGATACTTGAATTAAATCAGCAATTATTTAGAAAGCAAACAATTTAGGGGAATGGTTATCTGCATTACGAAATAACCCTTCCTTATATATTTACATATTTTAAACTATTTCATCTGTTAAATTATGATTCCAGTCACTTCCAAATAGAAATTAATCATAAACACTTTATATAGGTATATAATTTTAATTAAAAGTAATTATATTAGTATCTTTATTATCATCACAAGAATAAAACAATATCTTGACAGAAAATAAAGGAAAAGAATGTCCACCATTCCCATTATCCTTCTAAAGGTATTTCTATGATATATGTCACAGGAAAAAATATGTATTTTAAACAAAATATGATCATATATATGATATAAAATCATACATACATGATTTTGTGAACTGCTTTTTCAGGCTTATTAACAGATTTATCATTAATATTCGCCATTACTGTTACTATTTTTTGAGATGGAGTCTCACTCTGTTGCACAGGCTAGAGTGCAGTGACATGATCTCGGCTCACTGCAACCTCCACCTCCCTAGGGGGTTCAAGCAATTCTCCTGCCTCAGCCTCCCACGTAGCTGGGATTATAGGCACACGCCTGGCTAATGTTTTTGTACTTTTAGTAGAGACAGGGTTTCACCATGTTGGCCAGACTGGTCTCGAACTCCTGACCTCAGGGAATCTGTCCACCTTGGCCTCCCAAAGTGCTGGGATTACAGGCGTGAGCCACCGCATCTGGTCTATTTTCCCTTATTATTAAAGAAACCTGTTAGAGAGGTTTAAAAGTGTTTTGTTTTGTTTTTAGCTGTAGAGTTACATCTTCAAATGAGAGATTATTTAGCTCACTAATAAAACAGGTAAGAGCTGCTCCAGTTGAATCTACAGTAAAGGATTTAGTCTAGAATTTGAATGTTCCACCCCCTCCACGGAGCACCATCGAAGACGGTACACACTGAGGTATCCTTACGATTCAGTGTGTCAGTCTGAAAACTGCTCATCTAAACATTCCATTACATGGAAATTCATCATTAATTTAACTGAACTCATATGCTGGACATCTACGTTCTTTCCAATCTCTTGCGATAGCAAACTATTCTTCAAAGAGCATTTTTGCAGTCCAGTCAATTGTGGTACACATTTAGAATTACCGCCAAACTGTCCTCAACAGTTAAATCAACTTATACACTCAACATTCCACTTCTCCAAACACTGATCAAGATGAGACAATATCATAGTTTTAAAATTTTCAGCAATCTGAAGTTCACAAAAGGTATTTTAATTTCATTTTCACTACTTTGATTACTATGTTTTTTTGAATTCTATTCATTTCCTTTCCTTATTTCCCTATGGTTTGCCTCTATTTCTTGATTTTTAAAAAATTAAAAATATATTAAGGACTACTTTACACTTTGTCACATAGCTTACTATTTTTCCATTTCCATTCATCTATCAAATTGTGTTTAGAGTGTTTTGCTACACTGTTCTACTTTTCATTTAATCAGATATATTCATCTTTTCATTTACTATTTTTGCTTGTGCTACCATGTTGGAAAGGCATTCTGTAAGATTATATAAAAATATTAATCTAGCCGGGTACAGTGGCTTGCACCTGTAATCCCAGCCTGGGTGATAGAGCAAGATCCCCCCTTTAAATAAGTAAGTAAATAAATAAATCCATATATTTTTCTATTATCCTTATGATTACTTTTGTTGTTTCTCATTTTTTAAGGTTCCCATCTTAACAACCAAGTATATATGTTCCCATATTTTTATCTGTACTCCTATGAACACACTGACATGTATAAACACACACACAAACAATTTAACATACAAGTTTATTATTTTACAAAAATGCTCTTACTAAAGTAATATACACATATTTCCTTAATTTGGTATTCTCACTTAACAATATCATGCAGATATCCTAAAAGTCACTGATATAAGTTCTAATTTTTATTTTCAATGGCTGCATCATATGGATATACCATAACTTCTTCAGCTATATCCATATTAACAGGCAATGACTTTGTTTGCCAATAATCATGTCTGCATATAAAGTCTTATGTACTGGGGAAGATGGAGTCTAAGGAGTTAATTATTTGGTCAAATAGTACACATTAAAAATTTTTTAATGGTCATTTTTACATTTCTTTCCCAAAAGACCATAGTAACTTTCTTTTCCATCAGCAGACTAGGAAAGTATCCTTTCCCTTGGATTCTTGACAACAGCATAATATTAACTGATTTTGTAACAATTTTTAAAGTCCATTGAATACAGTTGTATTTCATTTTCCTTAATTTGCACTTTTCATGTGGTAGTTTACTGCATGAATTTTCTATTTTTGTCCATTCTTATCCTTTGTTCACTTTATTTTTATCTTGTAAATTTTAAGAGTTCTTAGTCTATTACAGACATTAAAATATTATGTCATCTGCATTACAAATAGTTGTTCTAGATATTGTTTGTCTATTGACATCATCCATATTACCTTTTTCCATGTGAACTTTTTGAAACTTTTATAGTAAAATATAAAACATAACATAATGAAACATACTATTACAGTAAAATATATCCCTGTTAAAATGACTTCTCTCCTCTGCTAGATTTTATAAGAAATCTTTGTACATACTGACATTTTATTGTAAGGTTAATACTGTGTTTTCTTGTTGAATTTTTTAAACTTTAAGCCTTAAGTTTAATTGAAACTTATTTTTGTATATGGCTTAATGTTCTTTCAAATAATCTCCCACGTAGTATTTAAGCCCCACTTAATGAATAATCCATTGTTTTCTCCTGGCGCTACCAAACTGCCTTCTAAAAAAAGTTTACACCCCAAAATGGAGGCATTAATCTGAACAAATGTCAACAAATGTGAAAAGTACCTGGTCTTTCATTCTTGCCTTTCTTGGCAATGTAACTGTACTTAACTCTGAGTCTTCCGGAATGCTTCGTAGTTCACGCTCTACTCTGCAAGTATTTTCATTTAGTGCTGCTTCTACTTTTCCAGTGGATGGTGCAGGGGAAGAACAAGCTGAATCAGCAGGCTGAGGAGATATGCTCTCTCTTCTGTTAGTTCTGTCGTTGTCATCATCATCATCACTGGACAAAATGACTAAAAGTATTTTAATAATTTATAATTTATATTAAAACTACAGTCATAATTTTATATTTCATTTCTGTCCATTAAAAAGTCAAATAAATTACCAAAACGGAAAATACACTGAATTTGCTTTGGACCTCCTCCAGAGCTAAGATTAATAAAAGTGAATGAAGATACAATCCATTCTATCTGATAAAAAGTTAAATCTGAAGAAAGCATTTAAGACTTGGCATCTTTTAAAAAAATTATACAAATATAAAATTTGATTTTACAATTCATCATCACTCAACCAAACAGCAATATCAGCAAGTTACAAGAAGAATGATAGGTCCATTTCAGTGTCCCAAAAAATTTAAGGTGTAAAAAATAATTTGCATACAACTTGTTCGCAAAATAGCACGCATTGTAAATATGTGTGAAACTCCATGTAGTCAAGTTTTTTTTTTTTTTTTTTGAGATGGAATCTCATTCTGTCACCCAGGCTGGAGTACAGTGGTGCAATCTTGGCTCACTGCAACCTCTGCCTTCTGGGTTCAAGTGATTCTCCTGCCTCAGCCTCCCGAGTAGCTGGGATTACAGGTGTGTACCACCACACCCAGCTAATTTTTGTATTTTTAGTAGAGATGGGGTTTCACCATGTTGGTGAGGCTGGTCTCGAACTCGCGACCTCAGGTGATCCACCCGCCTCAGCTTCCCAAAGTGCTGGGATTATAGGCTTGAGCCACCACGCCCGGCCATAGCCAAGTAATTTTATCTCACACAGGAAGTTACTAAAATCTTAACTGGTCCTCAGAAAAATCTGGACCAGTACCTAATGTTCAATAAGTCTTGCTGATGATAAATGGACGTGAGCAAGAAAAGACACTACAATGGTAATTTGCTCTTATACCTTGTACTCATTACTGAATCTTAGCGAATCTATCTCTGTATCTTAATTCCGGAAAGCCACTCATTTTGTATTTGAGTCAAATACAAACTCCTTGCTATGGTTTATAAATTTACATAATCTGGCCCCTGCCTATCTGTCCAATTTTCTCATAATATTCTGTTTTTTGTTTCTTTATCCTCCAGGCACACTAGTCAGTATTTCTGTCCCTCAAACACCACAAGCTTGCTCCTGCCTGAATTCTACTTCCCTCAATATTATGCATTCTGGCCACCAAGTTTTAGTTTACATATCACTTTGATAACCCAATAAAGTAAGCACACTCACAGTCAAATTAACTGATTTAAATTTTCTGTTGTTCTTTGTTGCAGATGTTCACTTGCTTATCTGTTTCCCCCTGCTACACATAAACTATAAGACAGCAGGGACATTGTCTTGTTCACTGCTATATCCTCAGGCCTAAAATAGCCTGACACAGAAAAAGCATTCAAAAGTCATATGTTGAAGAATGCATGAACTTGAAAGAGGAATTTTTCTTTATTAGTATTTCAAACATAAATGCTTAATTTTTACTGAGTAATGTACATGTCCCAGAGAAGCATCATCTCAGCATTTCTCTACCTGTCTTATTAATTTTACTGGCCAGTCTCAGGAACAAATACTGAGCATGGTTTCTCTTTCAACACTGGTCTTTCATTAGCAGAAAACCTAACAGGCCAGATTAGACAATCTAAACAGATTTACATACATAGCATTTGGGAGGTGGGGTTTTGCCACTTACTGGTTATTTGGCTCAATTTCTCTTCTCCGTAGAATTAAGGACAGTAAGGGTATCTATTTCACAGAATTGTTGCAAGGAACAAATGGTATGTAAAATGCTTAGCGCAGTACCTGACATATATAGATGTATATATACATACAGATGTACGTGTACACATGTATACAGATTTTTTAAAAAGGCCCATGAACTGTATTTTTAATGAAAAACGGCACAAGTATATATTAAAAGGAAAGCCTAGTGTTCTATTTACAATTATTAATATTTTTTTTTCGCAACAGGGTCTTGCTATACTGCCCTGGCTACGCTTCAACTCCTGGACTCAAGCAATTCTCTCATCTCAGTCTCCTGAGTGGCTGGGACACCACTATGCCCAGTTTCTATTTTTTAAAAGAAATTATGCTCATTCTCCACAGTATACACTCTTATCGGTAGCTTGCATTACTCACTTAAGGATCTTGGAAATTATACAGTTTATCAGATCTTTCACTCCTTTATCGCTGTATACTCTAGTCAACCAATCCCAATAATTTCTAATCTTTTGCTATTTATTATAAACAAGGACTGCATGCCATATGCATACACACAAGAGTAAAAAGACATGATGCAGATTTAAGAACAAATGTGGTAAGGATATTGTATGTCAAATATTTTATTGGGCTACGCGTATTTTATGTTATTTTAGCTCCCCCCCACCCCAGAAAAAATTTCACTATCAGCAGGAGATATACACATTTACAGATCAGAAAGATTAAATTAACCTGGCCAAAGTCCGAATGCTGGTTTTAACTAGCAATTCATCTAAGACTAGGGTCAAGTTCTGTGTTTTGTTTTGTTTTGTTTTTTTAAACTAAGATGGACAGGATGAGAACAAGATTAGTTTTAAGCTCACACTTACATTAAAAATACATATGGGGTTGGAGAGACTGGTTGTAAAAATATATCTGAAAAATATTGGATTGATATAAGCAATATTAAAGGGAGTAAAATACTTACTTGGATCATTTAGGTCTGACAAACTTGTTTTCCTTTCTTTCAAGTTTGTGATTTTGGGTATTTTTGCCCCAGGTAAAATGACTTTTCCATTAGTCTGTAAATAAGTGTGTTTACTCTCATCACAATTCACAATAATATCAATTGGAATCTTTTCCATACTGTTGCCATAAAACTTCTTGGTTGTTAATCCTGTGTTTTGTGACTTCTGTCCTCCAGAATTCTGATGAATTGACGTTCTTAATAATGGTCCAGCAGACTCATTCAAAGTAATAGCTTGTCTGCAATTTCTTTGCAAATCCTTAGAAAAAAGAACACCATAACTTTGGCATTTGGTCTGATTTTCTTTTTCTTTTCCACATTTTGGACAACATTCACGGTGTTCAGAAACTTTAAGTTCCAAAAGAATAAAAGAAATAAAAGATTTTGGCATTTTATTGCATCATTAAGGAATCCCCTCAAAGTCTCAAAATTAAGTCCCTCTCTTCCCCATCATTACCATCATGGCTACCATGAGATCCTAAATAAGTCATGTTAGTTGGGATTTAATATCAAAATGCTGGAAGAAATTTTCAAGACTATCCAGTCTAGCAGTCAGCTATATATAAATTAACTGTCACCAAGAATCTGAGGATACGATCAAGCTGAGTACTGACTGGCTCCATTACATTAGTGTCTACAATAAAGGTAAAGAGGGCATATCTAAATGAAAAGAACTCCATGGAAAAGTGCTATTTCCTCTCATAAAATTGACACTAAAACAGAAAAAACACATTCCTACTATTAAAATCCCCAAGATTAAAATATGAAAGGAAGTATGTTCTGAGCTATTACCATATGCCTTCCATCAGCTAAGAAACATGTATCTTGGAACTCTGTGAGAATTAGGAACAAAATGTAGATACACTACACTGAGTAAGATAAAAAAACTTTCATGATAAAAACTAGAGATTAACATTTTATCAACCTAATTCTCTAAAAACTAGAATCTTAATACTGCTCAGTTTTAGTAGAGAATACTGTAAAGTAATACATTTTCACAAACATTTTATGTTAAGTGTAATTTCTTTTGGAAAACAAAAACTGACTAAGCCTGGACATTGTGGGTCAGGTCTGTAATCCCAACACATTGGGAGGCTGAGGCAGTAGGACTGGTTAGGGTCAAGAGTTCGAGACCAGCCTGGGCAACATAGCAACATCCAATCTCTCCAAATAAAAAAAATTCAAGAAAAAGAAAAACTGATTAAAATCTCACTCCCTGCTTTGGTCAGAAGTGGAAGGCTTTTTACAAAATTAAATAATTCCAAACTACATATCACATAGTATCTGCAAGACTACCTATAAATAACCAACTGCACTTAATAAGTCTGTCTTTGAGACTATGTCATTTTTATTAAATATCCTAAAGATGTTAATCCCATTAAATTCACAGACCTTGTTTTCTTTTTCATTTATTTATTTATTTATTTATTTAGAGAAAGAGATTTGCTCTTGTTGCCCAGGCTGGAGTGTAATGGCACAATCTTGGCTTACTGCAACCTCTGCCTTCAGGGTTCAACAGATTCTCCCGCCTCAGCCTCCCAAGTAGCTGGGACTACAGGTGCCCACCACCACGCTCAGCTAATTTTTGTATTTTTAGTAGAGACAGGACTTCACCATATTGGCCAGACTGGTTTCAAACTCCTGACCTCAGGTGATCCACCTGCCTCGGCCTCCCAAAGTGCTGGGATTACAGGCGTGAGCCACCGCACCTGGCCCACAGATCTTGTTTTCTTACAAGTGGTACATAGTGTAGAATTTCAGAGACTATACGTGGAAAGAAAAACCACTAACTTTGTCTAGGAATTAAAGATTACATAGAGGCTGGCTATGATTCTTTATCTCCACTAAGAAGAAAACTAGAACAACTGGCATAGGAATAGAGTAAAAGAAGGAAGACTTTTATTAAAAAGTAATTATTGTTGTGTTTAATACCTAGGTGATGGGATGATCTGTGCAGCAACCACCACAGCACGTTTACCTATGTAACAAACCTGCACATCCTGTATGTGTACCCCTGAACTTTAAAAACAAACAAACAAACTGAGGTTTTCAGTGGGCATGTCCACTGGACGAAAGATATTGTATCTAGGGAGGAGCTTTCCTCCTCCTTTATCTAGGCTAATCAGTAGGTGATATCAGTATGGTCTGAGCCAAACTTAGGTTGGCATGGCAGGACATTACCACATAAAGAAAAACTAAGCTAACAGGTAAATACACTGGGGATGATGGGAGTCAAGTTAATCACTTCTGGAGAAGGGGGTTACAAACATGAAACATGGGAAAAATTAAAGTCAGTGGTGTTGGACTGGAATTAGAGTTATTGTGTGAACTCATGGATTCTAATATGGATTAAATATTAATACACACACATGTATTTCTTAGCTTTGTCCACTGAGAAGGCCGAGAAACAATAATGCCCACATGAATGAACATAACTAGTGTCCAAACATGTTCCTTCCACTTAAAGGAGAAGATATTTCCTTTTCCTTGTATGCATGGCTCCTCGGAGAAATGAATGACTCTAGGGCTGAGACAGAAATACAAGATAATGGCCGGGCACAGTGGCTCAGCCTGTAATCCCAGCACTTTGGGAGGCTGAGGTGGGTGGATCACCTGAGGTCAGGAGTTCAAGACCAGTCTGGCCAACATGGTGAAACCCCATCTCTACTAAAAATACAAAAATAAGCCAGGTATGGTGGCATGCACCTGTAGTCCCAGATACTCACGAGGCTGAGACAGAAGAACTGCTTGAACCGAGAGGTGGAGGCTACAGGGAGCCGAGATCGTGCCACCCAGACTCTAGCCTGGGTGACAGAGCAAGACTCCATCTTGCGGAAAAAAAAAAGAAATACAAGATAAGTTAAGACCATCTTGTTATACTAAAAAGCAGAGAAGTGAATGTCATAAATGTCTTCAAAGAATGATAGGGACATGTCAAAAAAGACAGAGGCCAGCTTGAAGGGACTCACATGGAATTTGGGACAATTGAAGCATCAAAGTAAGTCATGAAACATCATGGAAGTTACAGACTATAACCCTTTTGAGTAAAACAACTATTCATATGTACATGCTGATATAAATGAATATATAAATGTGGGATAAGAAATACTTCTAGCTCATGTTAGAAATCTTATTAATAAATTAGTCAAAATACCTATTCACTGACATTGCAGTGAAGAAATCTAGAACATCTTAACTAAGGCAAAATATCATTAATGTGAAAATCAACATCATATGTCTCCTGACATAATGCAGTAAGATTACAGCATCATTTCTGAAGCATTCTTGAAAACTACATACATCATTTACAAACATCAGACAAACCCAATTTGAGGCACAAAGTGTCCTGTACTCCTCAACAAATACCAAGATTATGAAAGATGAGACTATGAAATTATTTCTATCGAAAAAGACTAAAGATTCGTGGAAACTCAATGCAGCACATGACCCTGAATTGAATTCTATACCCATAAAGGACATTATTTAGGTGAAATTTGAATGGGATTTGTGGATTAGATGGTAATTTCGGATCAATGTTAATTTTGAGATTTTGACAGATGTACTCTAACTATAAAAAAAAATAAAAAACACACATACTTAAGTATTAAATGGTAAATGGGCATCATGCTTGTAACTTCAACTCAAACAGTACAAAAAAATACACATACACATGCTTATGGGTAGGCAGGAGGAAGGAGGGAAAAAGGCATAGAGAGCGAGGACAATAAAGCAAATGTGAAAAACAAGGAATCTGGAAGATAAATATATAGATTTTCTTTCTACTTTTTTTTTTTTTTTTAACTTTTCAACCTCTTAAAATTATTTGAAAAAATTTCTGGCAGACAGCAATCATTTGAAGTATGTTGCAGGGAAGCGATGATAAACTCTTTACAGAAAAATAAATTCTATATTTTGGACAAGCATAAAAATGGTCTACTGAAGGCAGAAAAGTTTGCCTAAATAACTTTTCCAGGTCTCTTCTGGTCCTATGATAAAAGATCACCTAGAATTTAATAAGTACTGAAACTAATATTAATAAAAACACAATCTGATTAGCAATAAAGAATAATTTCTCTACTTACCTCCAAATGGGTTAAACATTTTTTTGAAGCAGGAGATAGAGGAGAAGTAGGCTGATAGGTACTACAGTGCCGTTTCTGTTGTACTTTCCTCTTAATTTCAGGCTCCACTTGTGATTCGGACTCTTCTGTTTTCTTCATTATACGTTCTAAAGGAAGGAGAAAAAATAAAGTTTAAGTTTTACTTAAAATAAGCTAGTGTTTCAACAAAAAAATAATCAGAACATAAGACCAAACAATAGTTATATCCTGGCTAACTCTTATTTATTTTTCACTCCTCAGCAGGATCTCCACAATGTGGACAACTTCATCAAGTTATCAACATCCTCTTCACTTTAACTTCATTTTGTTCTACTAAGGTAACACAAACCTTTCCTGTGCCTAACCACTCACATACTCACAAATCCTTTTTTTTTTTTTTTTTGGAGACAAGGTCGCATTCTGTCGCCCAGGCTAGAGTGCAGTGGCATGCTCATAACTCACTCTAATCTCAAACACCCTAGCTCAAGTGATCTTCCCACCTCAGCCTCCAAACTAGCTGTAACTACAGGTACGCACCGCCACACTCAGCTAATCTTTTTTCTTATTTGTAGAGACAGGGTCTCCCTATGTTGCCGAGGCTGGTTTCTTTCTTTTTTTCCAAGTCACTTAACTCTAAGAGTAGCAATGAGAAAAATCTGAATTCAAACAGTACAATTGTTTGGCAAAGGAAACTAAACTAAGCCTGCCTCAGGCTAATTTTCTTTTTTAACTTCAGAACACACAAGGTAATTTTTCTCGATATTTTTAATGTAAATTTAATAATTTTCATTACAAATATAATTAGAAGTTTCAAATGATTTGATGAACTCCAAACCAGGACAATTTAAAATTTACCACAATCTGACTTTATCAGCAAAGGATTAAGTATGCAAAAGGCCAAACACGTTTCTAAAACATAAGTGAAGAATCTGTAAACCAAAATAACCTGCACAATCCTAGCTTTGTTAAATACTTCTACTTCTAGTTTCCCATATTTAATATTCTTCTATCGGTTGGTTTTTAAAAATAAGATTATGTAGACAAAAAAAATCAACATTATCTAATATTTAGTTTGATATACAACACTGTCTTAAGAAACCTATATAATTATTCTTGCTGAGTGCAATCACAAAAAGTTTCACTAACTGATTATCATCCTCTGTTTGCATGTCTATTTTCCTAGACACCAAAGCTAGATGTTTAAGTAATCGATGACTACTCCTTGTCCCTTCATCTTCACTTCTAAATAGCTCTTAAGTTCACTCTATCTTCTCCAAACCCACTGCCACTACATTTCTGATGCTTAACTCTTGCCTAAACTGATGTCCTCTATCCCAATTTTGCTCTTTTTAAATCTTTCCCCACTACTGCCAAAGTGACCTAGTTAAAAATTGTGACTTTGTCATTCTAACACTCTAACTAAATTCCATCTCTTGGCAAGCAGAAGTTCCTGTTTCAATCTTACTTCCACTCAAACTTTACCTCAAAAAGGTTCATTTCTTCATATGTTCTCTCTTTCACCCTCACATATGCTGTTCTTTTCATAAGTAAAGCTCTGCCAATCTATGTGGTGAATTCAAACCCTTCTTTGTTAAGAAGCTGCCTCTGCCCCACTCTAGGCACAGTTAAGCAATCCTTAGTTTTCATAGCTCTCATTGTATTGTTATTTGTACTTCTGTTCCCCCATTGTATTGCCAGCGCTGGGAAGAGCAGAAATGATGTTTTAGTCATGTGTTTCCCCAGTATCTAAAAACTGCAGAAGGGCTTGATAAATGTTTCCTGGATTAATGAAGTACATGAGAAACATAAAACTATATGACACATTAAAAAAATTACAGGGGTCGGAGGAAGAGACATTGTCACTACGTCATCTCTGAAAATGGCATAACCTTTGACACACAGAGATAATGACTCATGCACAGATCTAGAACCATAAGGACTTAGCCTCTGGCCAGAGAGTAACTAAAAACTGCTTTTTTTCTCCCGAGATCTAAAATCTGAGGTTACAGAGCAGCTGCTCCAGTCCAGAGCACCCAGGTGCTATTATTTTTATGAAGGCTAAGTTACTTTGTTGAAGAGCTACGATGTGACACTATAAGAAGAAGGCAGACATTTTGGAATCCAGAAAATAAACACAGTTGTCTGAAACACACAACCAATTATTTGAAAAACTTAATGTACAGTAAAGCAGTCTTAAAACATAGGCCCCAACAAGCTTTTTTGGCCTTACTAAATTTGATAATGTACCCAAAGGAAAGCTTTTTTCCTTTTTTTTTAATTTTTTTTTTTGAGACGGAGTCTCGCTCTGTCACCCAGGCTGGGGTGCAGTGGCCAGATCTCAGCTCACTGCAAGCTCCGCCTCCCGGGTTCCCGCCATTCTCCTGCCTCAGCCTCCTGAGTAGCTGGGACTACAGGCGCCCGCCACCTCGCCCGGCTAGTTTTTTGTACTTTTTAGTAGAGACGGGGTTTCACCGTGTTAGCCAGGATGGTCTCGATCTCCTGACCTCGTGATCCGCCCGTCTCGGCCTCCCAAAGTGCTGGGATTACAGGCTTGAGCCACCGCGCCCGGCCAGCTTTTTTCTTATAAACATACTTCATTAATCTTTTTAAGCCACACAGTATCTTTGCACATTATTTTGCTCAACCATGTATCTAATTAGTTTTCTGCTGGTTCTGGAGACTGACATTTTAAAAAACAGTATCATTTCATCTTGATTATGTAATCACACTCTTCTCTTCACCATACCTATATCATCATGTCCATGTTACATTTTCTCTACCATCATAAGAGGGAAACAAACGTCCCAAGCTTTGATATAATGCAAAATTTTAATTAATAGAGAAAAATGACATTAAAATTCTGATCCCTACCTAAATCAAGGTTTTTAATAAGGTTCCGAAGGAAAGAGATAGAAAAAGGAAGCAATGAAGAAGGTTAAGCTGAGACTTTCGAAACCAATGTCATGGGGAGAAATGATAAATGACTGACAGTGTTATAGGAAACTAGAGTACAGTGAGTCAAGAAAAAAACACAAAAAATGTTAGCCTCAGGGTTAAGAAATTCCATTAGGATTCCATTTTCTAGGGAAAGAAGAGAAAAACACTTGAGAAGATTTGGTAACTCAAGTAAAAATGAACTAGTTTCAAATTACAGCAGAAACATAAAATTGAAAAAAGCTTAAGATTGGACTGGTTCAAGGATGGCAAATAATTAATAAGTGGCCCGTGGAAGTTTTACTAGCTAACTGATCACAGAAGTGATTTTTGCTAGGCTGTTGTAGCCTCAAATCCCCAACAGATTACTCCAGAGAAGTATTTAAGATGAAAACCATGTAACATTATGCTGAATCCCTCTTACAGGGATGAGAAAGAGAATAAAGAGTATTTACCAAAGACCCTGTGGTAGGAACATGAAGATTAGGATACTCCCTTCTAGATTTTGTAGCTCAATGTTTTGTTTTGTTTGTTTTTGTTTTTTTGAGATGGAATCTTGCTCTGTCGCCCAGGCTGGAGTGCAGTGGCGTAATCTCAGCTCACTCAACCTCTGCCTCCAGGGGTTCACGCAATTCTCCTGCCTCAGCCTCCTGAGTAGCTGGGATTACAGGTATGCATCACCATGCCTGGCTAGTTTTTGTATTTTTAGTAGAGACAGGGTTTTGCCATGTTGGTCAGGCTGGTCTCGAACTCCTGGCTTCAGGTATCTACCCACCTCAGCCTCCCAAAGTGCTGGGATTACAGGCGTGAACCACCACAACCAGCCTAGCTCAAGGTCTTTTTCAATACACTACACTACTTCCAGGTATGCACAAAAGGGGAGACTACTGAAGATATTACTGGGTAAGCGTGATCTATATACAGGTGGGATATAAATAGAACACATTTAAAAAATCAAGTTAAAAAAAAGATCCTCCATAAAAAGAAAGTTCATAGCAGCTTTATTCTTAATAGACAAAAACTGGAAACAACCCAGGTGTCCATCATCAGGAAAACTGATAAATAACTTGGTATACCCATACAATGCAATGTTAAAAAGAAACAAACTATTGATGCAAGCAACAGTATGGATGAATATCAAAAAAAGATCCTGAGTGAAAGAAGCCTCACATAAGAGTATACAGTGCATTACTCCATTTACATGAAGTCCTAAAACAGATAAAATTAATCTATGCTAGGAAAAATCAGAACAATGCTTACATTTGAGGGGGAAGAGGTAGGGACTAACCGTGAAAGAACATGAGGGAACTTTCTAAGGTGCTGATACTATTTGTACTATGTCTTCGTGGGGATTTTGGTTAGAAAGGGATATGTAGTTTTCAAATTTTATTGAACTATATACTTAAGATTTATGTATTTCATTGTAGTAAATTTTATTTCAAAAGAAAGAATGTGAGGGCGACCTGGCTGTAACATCTGTCACCCCACTGATCGCCAGGGGTAACTGCGCTGATCTTGTTGGCTAGGTGGGTGTCTACTTCCTCCCTCATGGCTCCATGCGCGTCCCTTCCAAAGCTGCACGCTGGGTTAAAGAGGATGACCATCCCTGATAGAGGAGGACCGGTCTTGGGTCAAGGTCAAGGATATATAAGTAGCTGTGCTCCCCTGCTAGAACCTCCAAACAAGCCCTCAAAAGAAAATAAACTGTAAACAAATATTGAACTCTAGTTAATATGCCCACTGAAGTGTTTAGAAGTATACCAGGCGTCTGCAATTGACTTTAAAATGCATCAAAAAAATAAGATGAATTAACGTATAAAGGGATGATTAGAACAGAAAAGTGTTAATTGTAGAATCCATGTGGTAGATATAGACATGTTCACTGTAGAAGTCTCAACTTTTCGGCATATTTAAACATTTTTATAATAGAAATTGTGGGAGAAGCAGGGTAAGAAAGAGGCTTAACTTTCTTATTTGAGATTTTAGTTGTGATACTAATATGCTGAAAAATAAGTACCCAGAGGACAGTGATAGAATACAAACGGTTATTTTTATAATGGTTATGTATTTGCTTTTACATTATTTTTTATAATCTTTCAAAAGAGAAAGACAAACTAAAAAAAATGGTTTTCTCCATCATGTAGCTGCTGACTGACTTTCAATGTAAAATAAAACTGAAGTCATGTATCTATCA